GAGCTACAAATTCTTCACTCCCAAATAATAAGCAAGATCATTAGATTTCAGACTCAAATATTCAACCCATTTCCTCTTCAGGGCTAGAAATTAGACTTAGAGCAGTCACATGGTCTGTCCTGGTCAAACTAGACCGAATGCTAGGCCTAGGAAACAGCCTCCTATCTTAAGTCTGCAGGCCACGGAGTTCTATAGCACAATGGCAGGCTTCTACTGGCATCCTCTCTGCCCATGCACATCCACCCAACCCTGCACCCCACCTCCAGTCCCAGGGGCACAGTGACCAGTGACAATATCACATGGAGTCTTCGAGTGACTGATGTCCACAAAGCCAGGCCAAGGGAGGCAGCATCCAGGCTAGAGAGGAATAAGGGACTTCTTTTCTGTGCTTTCTGGCTACAGTCTAGGAAATAGCTGAGAATTTCCTGGTGTAAACCTCTACTTGTCCCTCATTCATTCATTCACTCACTCACTCATGCGTCCTTGGATTCCACTATTCTTCAAGCACATATTCATCAGAATGCCTTCTGTCAAACCCACTTTATGCTTCTCATAGCAAGCAGCATCACCCTGTGCACAGACACCTATGAATGGAAAGAGAGGAACAAGATTCATGCCGGGCAGTGGTGGCACACGCCTTTAATCCCAGAACTTGGGAGGCAGAGGCAAGCAGATCTCTGTGAGCTCATGGCCTGCCTGGCTTACAAGAGATAGTTCCAGGACAGCTAGGACTGTTACACAGAGAAATCCTGTCTTAAAACAAACAAACAAAAAAAAACAACAAAAAACAAAAAACCCAGATTCACTCTGTGAAGCCACCTGACCTTTGACCTTTTAAAGTACAAACACATACAAGTAATTTTATATGGATTAAGCAGGTTATATTTATATAAATACATTTGTATATTTATAATATATATCACAAAATATCACCCAAACACATACACACATGCAACAATATTTAAAGAAAATGAGGCTATGACTGTGATAGAGTAAGGGGTACACTGTCAGAGGTTATAGGGAGGAAAAGGAAAGAGGCAAACTATAACATCAAAAAATATTTAAAACAATTTTTAAAAGAAATACAGACCGAGAATCAGCATGCTTTGTGAAGTGCCAGACACAGGCTGGTGTTTTGCAGGGCACTGGGCCTCAGGGTAAACTAGGTTCTCATCCTGCCACCCCTGTAAGAAATGCAGGGATAAACAGCCGGAGAGGTGGCTCAGAGGCTAAGAGTGTCTAACGCTCCGCCAGAGGTCCTGAGTTCGATTCCCATCTGACTTGTCTAAACAATCAATAAATCGCTATAAATAATTGGAAAAAAAAAGAAATGCAGGGATACTCTGCCTACCCCCAGACAGAAGCTGTAGGAGCAGGGCCAAGACCTGCAGGACAGATACTAGGAGCACCATGATGGGCAGTGGAGAGGCCTAACTTTACCAAGTGAACTCCAGAGCACGCAATTGAACAGGGGAGATCTACCATAGGTGGGTAGAATAAACGGCACAGATGTTTGCTGCTGGTGTTGTTTGTGGAAGGCACCTTGGGAACAACCGCCAGCCCCTGAAGATTCCCTAAGGGTCAGCTTCACTCGCTGTGCCGTAGAAGCACCACAGTTTCATCATTCTAAGTAAATGCCAGGGCTGGCAAGACGGCCTGAGGGTTAAGAGATCTTACTGTGCAATCTCAAGGACCAGAGTGATGAGCCCGGCACCCACCCACCAAACACCTGTAAGGCCAGCTCTGCAGTAGGCAGAACAGAAGGTCCACAGGGGTTTATGGGCTTCCAGTTTAGCCCAAGGTTCTGGGGAAGACTGCTTCAAAGGAACAGGCAGAGGGGCTGGAGAAATGGCTCAGAGGTTAAGAGCATTGCCTGCTCTTCCAAAGGTCCTGAGTTCAATTCCCAGCAACCACATGGTGGCTTACAACCATCTGTAATGAGATCTGGTGCCCTCTTCTGGCCTTCAGGCATACACACAGACAGAATATTGTATACATAATAAATAAATAAATAAATAAATAATTTAAAAAAAAAAAAGGAACAGGCAGAGAAGGACAGGAAACCAGCCGATGCTCTCCCCCAGCCCCTGCACAGATGGACACCTCCGCAAAAATGCACAGAGACACACGTGAATTAGCAAACAGACATGCCTTTAGAAATGCCATAGGGCTCAGGGTATAGACCAGTTGGGTAACAGGAGTGCCTGCCTAATAAAAATGTAAGCTAAATCCTGTGCCCAATTTATAGCGTGACTTTGAAGTGCAGTGATGGAAGAGGGTACTAATGCTGATGTCTGCAAACTGATTTTTTTTAAAAAAATAATATTTCGTATTTATACTTTGAAATTTTTTTGTCTCCTGACAAAATAACCACAACTAAACATACAAAACAAAAACAAGACCGCTTTCTTCTTTAAGCCACTGGAGCAGGGTTTTCCATCACCTGTGCGCTGAGGCACTGTCCCTGGTTCAGAGGCAAGGCTGGTGATGGTGAGCCCTCACCAGCAGTCACAGTTGGAGGCCAACTTGGGCAGGACGGAGCCTGGAGGCAGCAGTCTGCTCCCAGCCCTGCTGTCCTATGAGTTGTGCAGCATGTCTCAGGAGCTCCCTGAAAAGGCTTTTTGCCGTTCCCAGAACATTCCTCATGCAAAGAGGTACTTACAAGTCTAGACTCAGCCTTGCCAAGACCTAGAACCAGCCTGAAGCAGAATGACAGCGGTCAATACCAGAGGACTCTGGCTTCCCAAAGCATTCTGGAAAGACAGCTGGAGCTCTTACCCCTGAGCTTGCATGCTGGATTTCTGCCCCTCTGCCAGGGCCATGACATTGCTCTCTGGCTCTTTTCAGCCTAGACTTACAGCCAGCATTAACCTACATCAACCCCTTCGACCAGTCCTACCCAGGCTGTCTACTCTGGCTCAGTTCCCTCTCCAACCACCTCTACCCTGTTCTACTACTAAGGGTGACTTGTCTTCAGTTCTGCCTACTAGGATCTTGGCAGCTGAAAAAAAGAAAGAAACATTTCTTTCATATAGTTGATGGCTAAGTCCATGGTTAATGCCTTGTTTGCATGCCAGAAAACGGGTTATCTTCACTTAGCCCTCTGGACACCAGTGTCCTCATCTGTCAAACAGAACGCGTCGTCAGTGCTGGTCTCTTCCAAACTCATTCTTTGCAGGGCTCCAGCTTTCTTGTAATGGGACAATACTTTTCTTCCTGCTGCTCACACAACCTCTCTCCCTGCCCAGATCTGAGCATGCCCAGGTCCTGGATGACACCGTATAGTATCCTCACCTTTGCTCCAGCATCTTCTTTACTCAGACTCCTAAACTCTAGGAAAATGAGCAAGCCCACTGTTCTCCATGATTGCAATACACAGGGATATCTGAGTCCCCAGTGGGTCAAAGCAGCCCTAGGTCCCACCTCATCTCATCTGCCGAGTCCCACACATTTGTGATCATCCTAAGTGCACTACTTCCTGAGATTGCCCACCCTGCATTCTCAGCAATGCCTCCCCCAACACAGGAGCCCCCAGTCTGCTTCCATGTGTCTCTACACAGCTCATGTGTCTTTGTCAACTTGGGGACTACGACAGGGGCACAACTAGTCCAGAAATCAGCACACGGCCCCCCACAGGTATAGAACCTTACTATGTGCCTATTTCATTCAAACAGTGGGTTAGTAAACAATGCAGATCGCCACACTAAGGTAAGAAAACCTAGAGCCACACCAATTCATGGAATAATCTACGTTCTTGTCCTCACTGGGTTTTAGGCCAGAGACATCCTGGGGACCTGCTCCCTCTAAGGCGCACCCAGCTGTCCCAATCCAGGCTCTGTCCACCACCTTCCTAATTCCCCAAGGCTGATTGTACATCTGGCAGAGGACCCAGTGGGATTCCCTTCCAGGGATGGCTCATTCCCCTGCAATAATCGGCAAGAGAGTCAGGAACTCTGGTCCCAGCATCTCTTCCCCTCACCAGCTTCCAACCACAGCCCTTACTGGACCTGGAGGGAAGAGCCACACAGCAATCTACTGCTATCCAACGCCCAGTAACAATAAAGAAGTGAGAGGTAAAAGCCACAGGCAGGCTGGGGAAAAAAAATCTCTCTTCACTTCCCATTCTGGGGAAGGACTGTCCTCAGAAGGAACCCTCTAAAATTCTGAAGGTCAGACTTCAAGGTCAGTCCTGGAGCCAATGTCTGCACGTCTGCTGTTGCCCAATGCTCAGGCCCTTCCACACTCAACCCCATAACCACCACACTCAACCATTTCCAGGCAACAAACTAAGAGACCTGGATCATCTTGGATGTCTGAGGTCATCAGTCCCTGGGCCACACAGATGATTGGGTGCTGCCAGGCAGAATACATGGAGCCATCCTGCCACCATTTCCTTTCCTGGTCACTCACTGTAACTCTCTGAAAGAACTTGCTATGCCTCAGGATCAGGCCCTGCCTCTTATTTTTTAACTCTGGACATTTTGAGGACATTTGAATTTCTAAAAATAAAAATCTCCTTACTGTAAGGAGCATACAAATTTAAAACATCACACAGCCAGGTTACAGTAGCCAATCAAACAGGCACTTGCGGAGTCCCAAACTTTATCCCAATGAACTTCTGTAGAGTTAGACCACCCGGGTTCTACCTGCAACTTCAGGAGCTCTGGGTGGTCAGCAGACCAGAGATGACGAGGATTAGGTCACTTTAATTCCCCAAGACCTTTCCACCTCTGCCCAACACGGCCTCAACTCGAGGAGGAAGACACCAAACAGGTGCTTGGACACCGTCTGCTGGGCGGGGGCTGTTACTCGGCCCCTTGCTTTGCTAGCTCCAGGGAATGGTGACTTGGCCTGCCCTGCTTCTGATTCTTGTCTACCCACACCCCCTCTGAGCTTGGCATACTGCCTATCTCTGCCCACAGAATTTTCTGCGGCCAGTGTAGGAGGCAGGTGGGGATGGCCTCAAAAGGCAACAAAGCTCCACAGGGAAGCCCACTCACTTTCGCAAAGCCGACGCCTCAGCTTGCCACGGATCTTGTCGATGGCGTTGAAGTCGGAAACGTGGAAGACATGCGCAGACTTGGGTTCTGAAGCAATCTCATCCAGCTCCTCCTTCAAGGCGGCGCCCACACCAACTGCAAAAATGCGAATGCCTGCTGCATGGGCAGCAGCTGCAGCATCCAGCACCAGGTCCTGGCTACGGCCATCCGTCAATAGGATGGCCACCTGCTTGAAGGCACGGTTCCCAGGTCGGCCGCCTGCCTGGACAGAGAAACTGCGGCTGGTGATGTAACGCAGCGCGTCACCGGTGTTGGTGTTGCCCCCATAGTAGGTGATGCGCCGAGCGGCCGCCTTCACTTCCTCGCGGGAGCGGAAGTGGCCCAGTTCAAAGGCTGTAGTGGGCCGGTCACTGTAGCGCACGACCCCCACACGGGTGTGATCAGGGCCCACCTCAAAGGTGTCTACCAGATTGGCCACCCACTGGCGGACCTTCTCAAAGTCCTCCTTGCCCACACTGGAAGAGGTGTCCAAGAGGAAGACCAGGTCATACTGCACACTTTTGCAGCCTGCGTGGGAGAGAGAAAGGGTGACCGGAAAGAATGGGTGGTGGGATTTAGTCCCCTCCCTCCAAACCCCTGAACCTCAGACTTCACTCTGGTGCCTGCTTGCCTGCCTTGCCTCTTATTGACATCCCACAGCAGGATGTGGCTTTACAGAGTTACAGTGAGGACCAACTGATGTGTGGCGCCAAGCAGAAGTGATTTATGTCCATGGGACACTACAAGGTGTCAAGATCTCCTCTTTAACTTTGGTTAAAAAGTGATATCAGAGTGTGTGTGTGTGTGTGTGTGTGTGTGTGTGTTATACATGTCTGTGTACATAGAGTACCTGTGCAAAGACCACAGGACACAGGAAAACTTTGGGTTTCTTGTTTCATACTGTTGTCTTAGGCAGGGTCTCTCACTGAACCTGGAGACATATGGATTTTGGCTTGACTGCCTGTCCACTGAGCCCCTGAAATCCTTCTGCCTCCCTCCATCCCACTGCTTGGGCTACAGCCTGTGTTCTATCATGCACCCAACTTTTATATGGTATTGGGGATGTGCCAGGCCCAGTGGTCTAAGGTCGGCTTTCCCACACTTAACTGAATGCTACAAACGAGTTTCCAGTGGATTTCGAGCTTTCATGTAGATTTCCAAGGCTTCATAGAGTCCACTGCATGGAGCATTCTACCATTACAAAGTATATCAAATGTAAATTATTTATGTATATTAAATATGCCTATATAGAAAAGTATTATAATGCTTCAAATGCATGCTTTATAGAAATTTTACATAAACTACGTAATGCTTTTGATTAAACAAAATCAAGCATTAATATAAGTATTTTCCTCATTAAGGAAGCCCTTAATATGGGGTCTACTCATTCTTTTCCCAGTTAGGTTGTTTGAGAGTTGGTGTTTTCTAAGCTTTATTGGGGGTTCCTGCAGTGCACTGTGGGAGCCAACATAGTGGGAGCAGAAGGGCAGCAGCTCAGCTCACCAATGAGGATGTGCTTCCCAACAGAGCAACAGAGGCCCGTGGAGTTCGGGTGCTATGCTTGGAGGAAGAGACTTCCCAGTCCTGCCTCCCACTTCCACCCCGGTTCTGTCTGCCTGTCTGCCTGTCTGTCCGTTGGTTCCTCCCTCTCTCTCTCTCTCTCTCTCTCTCTCTCTCTCTCTCTCTCCTCTCTCTCTTCATCTCTCTTTTCCTCCCTCCCTCCCTCCATCTTTGCATGGGTGTGTACATAATTCTGCAGGTATGCCTAAGCTATGAAAGAAATAATAATTTTATTATTTTATTTGTTTTGCTTTGATTTTTGTAAATCAGTAAAAAGCAAATCCCAGAAAGACACACACACACATGCATTTCACAGCATGACCTGAGCTAATGCTTTACTTGAATCTCCTACACCGACATCTCCCTCCATACAATCTACAGAGAGCTGAGCCAAACTCTCACCCCTCCTTACCTTTCTTCACATGCACCCTCTACCCCCCCCTCTCTCTCTCTCTCACACACACACACACACACACACACACTCACACACACCTTCTTACACCCCTCTCTGACAGAGCCTTCTCACAAAAACCCTCTTCATAGCCCCTCTCAGCATAAACATGCTTACAAATTCTTCACACACCATATTTGCTAACACACATTCTTACACACAATCCTAATCTTTCACAGTCTCTCACACACTACAGCACACTCTCGCATCCTCTCTCACGTTATTTTGCTCTCACAGGCCCCATCTGAACAGGTGGCACTTACACACCCATCAGCTGGAGGACAACTGATACATGGACTATGTTGCTGATACTCTTGTACACTCAGTCATGAACCAATTCACAGGATTACACCTTCACTTGTACCCACACACGAATGCTGACCATCCTATCCCCAATTTAATGTCCCACCTGCACGCTGGGCATGACAGCCACCATCACCTCCCCACAGCAGTAGGATCCACAGAAGGCAGGCCAAAGGACTCCCTCTGGGTACAGCCATGGCTTTCCTGCTCTTGAGGACAGGAATACCTTGGTCAGGGAGAGATGCTTCAGGATCTAGTGGAACATTTCCTGTGTGGAAAAAGATACACCCTGAGAAGCAATCCAGGAGAAACATAGGAATCCCATGTGCAGGAGCCAGCCCATCTCCAGCCCTCAGCTTTGCCTCTTCCCAGAGCAACAGTGTAACCTCTCCCCAGAGCCAACAGTGTAACCTCTCCCCAGAGGTAAGAGTGCAACTTCTCCTCAGAGCCAACAGCTTAACCTCTCCCCAGAGATAAGAGTGTAACCTCTCACCAGAGTCAACAGTGTAACCTCTGTCCAGAGTCAATAGTGTAACCCTTCCCCAGAGCCAACAGTGTAACCTCCCCCAGAGACAACAGTATAACCATTCCCCAGAGCCAACAGTGTAACCTCTCCCCAGAGACAACAGTGTAACCTCTGTCCAGAGACAACAGTGTAACCTCTCCCCAGAGACAACAGTGTGACATCTCCGCAGAGCCAATAGTGTAACCTCTTTCCAGAGACAACAGTGTAACCTCTGTCCAGAGACAACAGTGTAACCTCTCCCCAGAGACAACAGTGTGACCTCTCCCCAGAGACAACAGTGTAACCACTCCCCAGAGCCAATAGTATAACCTCTGTCTAGAGACAATGGTGTAACCTCTCCTCAGAGTCAACAGTGTAACCTCTCCCCAGAGTAACAGTGTAACCTCTCCCCAGAGACAACAGTGTAACCTCTGTCCAGAGACAACAGTGTAACCTCTCCCCAGAGACAACAGCGTAACCTTTCTCCAGAGTCAACAGTGTAACCTTTCTCCAGAGCCAACAGTGTAACCTCTCCCCAGAGACAACAGTGTGACATCTCCCCAGAACCAACAGTGTAACCTCTCCACAGAGTCAACAGTGTAACCACCTAAAGAATGAAGTCAAAGGATCTGGTCCATTCCTTTGCTGATTCATCCATCTGCCTCTCCATCCACCCAACTAGCTGTACTGAGGAACAACCACCATCCTGGCAAGGCAGGGGTTGCAGAGAGGAGTAATGAGGTCTTGACCCTGGGTGACCCACAGCTGTGACCTTTCTAAAGTCCTTCATCTGTACCATTCCAGTCCCCTAATTCACATGACTCACAGACCTACCATGACCTGCCACCAGCCCAGCAGCCCAGCAGGCTCAAGATGGCAGCTTCGGACTTCCAAGCAGTTTTTCCACAAATACCAGGTCTGCAGCACCTCTCCTATCGGAAAGGTTTCCCTCTGCCAAATCCCCATACTTGCAAGAGCTCTGAAGGAAATCAACACAGATGCTGCTCTTTACCCTGGCATGGCCCTCCATGTGGTTGCGGGCCACCCTCGGGAGTTTCTAGTAAACAATGAACTTCCTTTTAGCAAGGGGTCATCACTTCACCCATTTCCCTCACTGACCCACCTACCACCATATCATGCCTGGGGGCTGACGCCCTGGGGTGTAAATTTACACACATGAATCTACTGGTTATGCATGCACAACCAGTACCTATGACTGGAGTAGCAAATAAGAATCGTCCAAATGACCCCTCTTCCAAACAGCTGAAATGGAAGGGAGATTTTCTTAATGTTTCAAATAATAGATGAATACATTTTCAGAGTTTGGTAAACAAAAAAGCATCAAGCAGGTGGCAAGAGAATGAGTTGAGAGCAAATGTACTTATGCTACCGTTGTTTTCAAGGTGTATATCACAATCTGTGTGAAAAAAGAGAGGTCAATGAAATCATGCCTATGGACTGGCATGCTGCAGCTACATACCACCACTAGTGCCCCACTCCGTGTGTGTATGTGTGTGTGTGTGTATGTGTGTGTATGTGTGTCTGCCTCTTCCTTCTCACTCATGCACACACACAAAGACACACTACATGCCGAATATACAATTGATAGAAACCTAAGCCTCATGATCCACTTGAGAATAGCTGTGCCCATCTCGCCTCAAGCAACAACGCACCTTGAGCCACACAAAGTTACTTGTTCCCAGGACACCACCTCCACACCCTGTACTCTGAAGGTTTTATCACCCATCCTAGGATGCTGTCTCCAGCTTGACATAGGGCTGGAGAGCCTGTAGGATTTCAGCGGGTCCTCACATCTTACAGGTAGCTGTGGTCACCCTCATTGCATAGATGATAAGTTGCCCAGAGAAGGAGCTGACAACTGCCAGCTAAACTCCTAGCAATGGTGGAGTCGGGATCGCACACACTGAAACCAGCAGGCATGTCATTCGTGGAGTCCTCCCCATGAATGCTGAGTCCAGGCATCCCTGAGGCTAGGCTTTTAGTCTAGTCTGTGAACCTTCAGCCCCATAGTAGAGATAGGGACAAGCCATGGACAACCAATGACTTAGGGATTCTGTTCATGACCTGTATCTCCCCACAATTTATACAAGGGAGATGTGTCATCTGAATTCTGTTCACAGATTGACCCCTCTTCCCACATCTCTTGTAATCCTCTAGTGGGGAAGGCATATACTTGGAGAGCTCCTCCTCCAACCCTGCACCTCTCTGTGAAAGTAGTGACAATCTGTAGCTGGTTATGCCCCTACTTGAGGTTTAAGCATGTTTGTTTCCATGAGACCTGACACTGATCCATGCTACAATCTTCTACCCATGAGTGTGTCCCCCTTGGTGTCAAGGGAGCGCTCTAAGGGTGGGGAAAGGGTCTTAATAGATTCTATAGCCCTGGTGACAAGTACAAAACCTAGCAAAAAGCAACACAGTTTATACTGATAAAAGAGGAGAAAAAAGGGGAGAAAGAGAGAGGGAGGGAAGAAGGGAAGAAGGAAGGGATAAAGGGAGGGAGGGAGAGAGGGAGGGAGGGATGGAGGGAGGGAGGGAGGGAGGGAGGGAAATGAAAAACTGCCACAGGGGAAAGCTGAGCTCAGAGACTGGACTATGGCTTGGGGACAGGATCAGCCAGGCAATTCTCTCCAGACGCAGTAGCACCCAGACCCCATTTTCAGTTCTGGAACGGAATAGTAAAGATATCCCCAGTGTCTGTCACTGACAGTCAGGGGAACTACTGCCTGTTCCCATGGAGAGCTTCTTTCCTTTTTATCCATTGTATTTAATGCACAGGACCAGGCACCATGCTGGTACCATGATCTCCCTCCACTATACCAGCAAAAAGCTACAGCACAGTGGGATGATGGCCTTGTGGATGTCGGTGGTGGCCCACAGAACTGGGCCCTGAAGTCAAAGCCTACTGGCCAGTCCCCAGGCCACCCCATCTTTTCCCTTCCATGCCAGGGATGTTTCTCTGTTGACATTATATATGGAACCGTCCTGTCAACTTCACATTCTCCATATGCTCTTAACTCTTTTTAATGACTACTCTGGGACACTACATTTGTTTAAGATACTACTGAGCAAACTTCAGTACCTAAGCCCTGCTCATGTGCAATGCTTTTCCTGGGGCACGAGTGTAGGGAAATACCTGCAGGGCCCTACACATCTTATAATGACCCTGACGTGAGTTCCCAAATTATTCTATGGAAGAGCACCAGTGTCCTCTGCCCTCCACAGCATGTGAATCTCCTTCCCACACAGTCGGCGGCAGCACTGAGTGGATCGACCCTTCAAGCTTTCCTAGGTCAAATGGAATACATGGTTTCTTGTTTTCTATGCATTATCTTAGGTCCATGAGGTTTTTTATTCAAATATTTTGCTTATTCTGCTTATTCAAATGTCCAGTTCTTCTTTTATTTTAAGTGTGTGTGTGTGTGTGTGTGTGTGTGTGTGTGTGTGTGTGTACATGCTGTGGTGCACATGAGTGTTAAATTTTGTCTGGCGTGTACTCAGTCATGTATGTATGTATGTATTTAGTGGCAGAGTCTCTCAGTGAATGTGCACTCCCTAGTTTCAGCTAGACTAGCTCTCAAGTTCCTACTACTTCCGCCTCTACCCTAGTGCTGCGGTTACAGACACACGCCACTATAGACAGCACTTCTGTGAACTTCTGATGTCTGAACTCGGTTCCTCATGTTTGCCCGGAAAGCACTTTATCCACTGATCCATCTCCCCAGCCTGTAAATGTAGTTCTTTTTTTTAAATTGCAAATATAAAGCTACCTAGACAAAGAAGAAAGTTTATAGATTTTCAGCATTGATTTGCTCATTTGGTAAATATTCCTTACTCCCATCACATGCCTAGGACAGGTAGGCAAAGGGCACTGAGTCACCCTGGGCAGGTCCTCATTGACTTCTGGGATCTAAGATGCACTGCATGCCATGGCAGCTAAGTCTCCAGCAAGCACAGGAAGAAGAAAGCCTAGGGAATTATAGGAGCACAGGCAGATGGGTTGGGTACAAAGCTGCTATCACCTGAACACTTGGGAAAAGGCCAGGGTTCCTGAGATTTTTTTTTTTCTGAGTTGAGTTTGGAAAGCTGAGCAGAAGTCAAATCAAGGTATCCAAGGCAGGTAACAACTTTAGACAAAAGGAACATCATTTGCCAGGCCCCAGAGCATAGCAGGGTACTTAGGAAAGTTCCTCTCAGGACAGGTGAATACACTCTGGATAATCAAATCTCTACCACCTTTGGGACAATGTGGCACACTTCTTCTCAAGGCACTGAAAGCAACCTCACAAGTGCCTGGGCTAAAATGGGCCTGAATAAAGACAAGCGGAGAACACCAAGAGGCAGATGGAGGATCAAAAGAAGGATTCTGTACCTAAATAGAACAAGCAGGGCAGTCATAGTTCTGGTCTCAGGAGTCAGAGGGCCCAAATAGGAAAGGAATACACAAGTCTGCTAGTTGCCCAACTCATTCCTCATTCAATGACTTGTGAAGGCAGGGTTTGTCTGTCATGTCCTTGCTGCTGCCCAGGACCTAGGACAGTTCCAAGCAAGGCAGTGCACCTCAGTAAATACTAACTTTATAGATGAATGATCAAAGGCCAGTATCAATGCCAACCTATCATCTTACTATCGTGTAGTGGCTGGGAGTTGTTTGTTAGATAAATAGTGATGTCATCAGAGAGCTATGAACTTAGATGGCTAGCCACCACCTGCCATAAGCCAGACACTCTCTGATTCTGGCA